TACAATCTTTTCCCTGGCACTTCAAATACTGCTTACTTTCTCCTCTTTAATTCAGTCTGTCTTTTGGAAGCTTACACTGATACAATTCATACACATATTCAAGCTTTAAGAGATACAAAACTTAAGAGTTAAGCCAGGTGTGATGGGGCAGGCCTGTACTACCAGGTACTCCGGAGGCTAAGGCAGGGCAATCTCAAGTGCAAGGCCAGTCTGGGTAACTTAGTGAGACCCCTGTCTCAGAGTAAAATGAGAAAAAACTGAGTATGGCTCAGTGATGCAACACTGGCCTAGCTGTGTGGGGTACAATTCTCAGTACCACAAGTTAAAAGAAAAAAAGAGAGAAAGGGGTTAAGCAATGCAGCTCTCAGAAAACCAGTCCCCAGCCTCAAGGTCTGCTGTTATTCCCACTTCTGTTGCCAAAGTTACTCAGAAGTCCACATTTGGTTTCCACTTCCTCATCTTCAAGTTACACAATAGGGGTATCTCTATCATGGTTGCCATGACCCCTGCCTCTGTGAAATGTCACTAAGATACCAATGTCTGCCTAAATATGAAGCTCAACTGTTAAGCTTAACACAGTTAAGTCCTTAATGTGTTTCTTCTCTCTGAAGTAGTCCAAAGTCCTTTCTAGGATCTTCCACCTTATACTGCTTGAGGCCCTCCATCTCAGGCTGCTATACCAGGCTTGGACCCTTTTCTCATCTCTGGTCCATTCTGTCACCATTATCCTCTCTTGGAAGCATATCTACACCTAAAACTGCATATTCTGTGCTGATTCCCAGGCCTCTACCACAGCCCCATCTCTTGAGTTTCAGATCTCTGCATCTGCTTAGCCTGTATAATTTAAAATGGCATTTGCTGGGTCATCTATAACTGAATTCGATTGTTTTACATTTATTTTTATTTTATAACTGTCCTACCTCCATGTATGTAAGTGCACTAAGTGTGTACAGTGCTTTTAGAGGCCAGCAGAGGGCATCAGATCCACTGGGACTGAAGTTACAGAGTTACCAGCCACCATATGGGTGCTGGGAACCAAACTCGGGTCCTTTGAAAAAGCAGCAAGTGCTTGTAACTGCTGAGCCAGCTCTCCAGCCCATTAGCTTGTATTTCTTGGCTACCATACCATAAAGGCTTTTAAAACTCCATTTCATCTCTAGCCTCCAAACTGCATACTTAGGCCACCATCCAGCATGAAACTATGAGCCATCACATCTCCTTCCCCCACCTGCCAACAAGCATCCTATTTGCCAGATTTATTTTGTACCTCTTCCTCTATTTACTGCTATGTCTGATTTCTGGCCTTCTTCACTTCTCCCGATTAGCCTTCAGGTTGGTAATTATGGCCTTCTTCAATTCCCCTAAACTACTTAGTGCAATTTAAAAAGCTACTGCAGTACTTCCTTTTTCCATAAACACCAAACCCACACTTCTTGATACTGTGTATGGATATTTGTGCATTTCTAAGACAAGCACCCACACATCTTTATGTATTATTCCAGCTTTGATTTAATACTGTGCCTCCTGCCTAGCATGTTCTAGGCTGCCCTTAATTATTGGGGGATGTTTTCTTGTGCTTTCATCTTTGAGGCCCATCTTCTTCCTCTTTCCTTAATCTGCATCAGTCCTGATCTCAGTCCAGCAGTCATAATTATGGTCTGCCTTTTCACTCTGATCCATCCTGTCCCACCCTAATAGCCTCTGGTCTGCACCATTTGTTTTGACTTGGCCTTCTTCCGCATCTACAGCACAGCCTTTATCACAGGCCTGCTCACTCTGCACTGCCATGGTCTTCACGTTCTACTTTCTCCACAAAGAGAGAGTTCTAGTATTACTCCATCTTTGTAAGTCCAAGGCCAAGCACCTACCTCATATTTGATTTTCTCTATATATTGAAAAAAGAAATTAAAAGAGCTGCAGGTGAAGGTAGCAATCAATGAAGGAACAAAAGTAGTGACTTGGAAACTCATTTGTTTTAAAAAAAAGGAAACTGTTCCTACCCCTCTGCACAACTTTTCACCTTTCTCAGTCCTTGGTCAGAGGCCCCTTCGAGTGTCTGTACTTTATTGTCCCATCTGCAAATGCAAAAACAAGATAACAACAAACTTCCTCAACCGCCCTCCAAATTCAACGACTTCTCTTAGTCCCACCTTGACTTAGTCTCACATTTCTTACAAGGAGGGGGGGGTGGTTATTCTGTAAGAACATGCAGTTGTCATTGGTATATGTTATCTCTAACTTCACTGGGGCATGTAGGTGTTTCATAGCCCCCCCTTGCTTCGGCCCATAAATGACCTGCTCACCTCAGTCCTCCATATCCGCACAGTGCAAGGATCTCTCAGTTCTGAAGAATGAGGTGAGTTAGGTAGTAACAGCTAACTTAACTGTTCTTAAGTTCTGACCAAAGTCATTTTCAACATAGCCTCTTTAACTTGCCCAAATACCCAGGGGACAACTACTACCACTCAGACAGAAAAACAGAAAAGAAAAGTTTAGTATCTTCTTAACTTCTCAAAAGTTTGTGTTTCAGAAATTGTGGCCCCGAGACTTGAATATCGGCAGTTTGACCTTAGGAAGGACACTCTTCATTACAGTGGGGCCCTGCCTCAAGTCTTTAAACAGACTGTTCATCACTGGGACATTTTATCAAAAGAATGACTTCTACCACCCCAGTGAAATGGGTACAGGCCCTTTTGCATTTTTAAAATGTGACTGTTTTTCCCTTTCCTTCACTCTGTTTTCATCCCCACCAGCCCAGAAACCCATATTTAAAAAGGAAGTTTCCTTCCAGTTTCCCTCTATTAATTTTATCCCATATAGGGAGATACACATATTGACACACACAGACATGCATAAAGGAGTAAGACTTTGCTCTAAAATGCATTCTTCTTACAGTTCGCTGCATCTTTTTTCTTCAGTAAATAAGCACACTGTTTAGACCTGCTTCTAGCCCACTGGCCATCATCTAGTTCATCCTGCCTAACAGCTGCTTAATCGAATCTGTCTACTCAGTTACTCCCCTTACACACTGCGCTCACTTTGTTTCCAATCAGTCATTAGGAACAATGCTGTGATTAATAAAGAACCAGAAACATCAGTGGAGGAGTGGGAAGCAGGCAGTCTGGGAGCGCCTTGGAAGCACGGTCTCTGCATCTGGTCTTACATAGCAAGAAACAGAATTTTCTCCTTCGCATGCAGGAAGGAACACTCAGGGCCATCAGCTCTTCAGTCACAACTTGGGGGTCATAGAGAATGGTATTTTCTGGGAGGACCAATGCCAAATTTTCCTTCAGAAGCTCACAGATTAGAAAGCTAAAATCTCCCTAGAATCTGTGGCTCTCTCCTCCACCCCCTCGTCTTTCCACCCTAAGACACTAGCCAGAGTTTATAAGAGAAATCCCTGCCCCTATTTTTCTGCCAAAATGCCCACCAAAAAAGCAAGGTCTCACCCTGCACCCAGCAGCCAAGGGGAGAGGAGAAAAAGATGCTCTCAGGGTCAGCGTTACCAGAACCTAGTCCAAGTTCACCTTTAATAATAACTAAATGCACTATTATAAATCTACCAAACACTGGTTCCAAACAAAGTTGCACAATTGTACATTCAAAATAGAAACATGATGCCACAAAACCAGCTAATTAACTTACAGTGAAAGTAATGAACTGAAAAATGGAGTGGACAATGATTCAGTTCTCTGCCTTCCCTGCTAAGTTGAACTTAAGACTGTAAGAGATACCCAGGATTAGCTGGGCATGGTGGCACACTTGGGGGGCTGAGACAGCAGGATCTCTGTGAGATCCAGGTCAGCCAGGGATACAAAGTGAGACCCTGTCTCAAAAACAAACAACTAAAAATGATTGATACATAGGATTAAATAGGTGATGCCTCCAAAATTTAATGTTGATCTGATTTTATTCATCCTAAAATAAATATATTTAAAGTGTAATGTAGCTCTAATTGTCAATCTGTTCTAAGATGCTCAAATTTTTCAAATTATTTTGTTTCTGTACATATGCAACATGTTCTTTTCCTGCATATTTTGTGATTTTTCAAGTCTCTCATCCAGCATGTGATCACCTTTCAGAATTTGAGTCACTTTAAGGCAGTAATGTTAACTGGTTATTAATTTGGATAACCACCTTTGTTCAAACCTGGCAAAATGATTAAATTTATCACATACACATACCTTGTTTAACACAACCATACATACAATGCTGTTTTGAAATGCTCAGCAATTAATTCAATTTAGTACATACTTTATTAATATGCATTTTCCCCAGGCTTAAGGCTAAAGTGCAGTGCAGCATCACCCAAGGACAGAGGCCATGGCTTGGTTGTGCACGGCTTAGATGCTAAGCATCCTGCAATGTCAGTGTGCTATCTGATGTGGTTACTGACGCAACACCCCGGCTAGAAAGCTCTGCAACACATGGTTACGCCCTTGTGGCTTCTTCACTTTTTTGAGACCAGGTCATGCAGGCTGCCCTTGAACTCATGATCCTCCACCTCTGCCTCTGGGAGTACTGGCATTACAGGTATGGGCTACCACACTTGGCTTCCCTTGTGGACTGTGTTCTAGCAGGCAGTTTCAACCATGGATGGCTAACTAAGGATGAAAAACAGCACAGATCTGCTAAGAAACAGGGGAAGTATTATTTTGGGGACTAAGAAGAAATGTTTATAGCAGCTGCAATGTGCCCTCAAAGAAACTGTCAGAGAACTAGATAGAGAGTTTTTAGACTTTATGAAAAACATCAAAAGACTAATAACTAATGAGTAGATGACATTTTGGGACTGGAGGGACTAGAAAAAAACCCAAAGAGCAAATGCCAACATGAGGTATCAGAATGACTTCTCCACAGGGCCTCCTCTATAATCCTAAGCACCCAGATTGACTGTTGGCATTACCATTCCTAGGAGGGCATCCTCCCTTCCCCCTGAATTGCTCCTGCCCATGGACGTGTCTTTACATCCATGGGAAAGAAAGAGAAGAGAGAAGAAAAATAAAATATTTTCTTTTATTTTCTTAGGCACACAAGTGGTTTGGGATACCAATTTTCAAGACATTCTACTGCTCAGAATTATCTACTGTAAACCTCAGCCACCTCTGAGAACAGTTTCCAGCAATCACTTTGCAGTTCTGAAGTACCAGGTTATGATACAGTTATGAAAAGTCAATGGTGTCTGTTCAAAATGTGAGTTTATTTGAACTCCTGAGTTTTAAAAATCCTATGAAAGTAATTCTTCTCCCTTTTTTAATGGCTCCTTTTTTTAATGGCTTTTCAGCTTAAAGCAATGACCTTTAAAAAATAACCTAAATACCTTATTACAACAGAAACCAGAGACATCCAATTTAGAAGCCAGACAGTATTATACTGAGTATCATTCAGAGACTAGGAGAAGCCTTTAGTTGAAACAAAAATCTCACCACCAAGGCCATCAACCTTACACTTGTTCCCCAGGTACATAATAAACCTCTTTTTCTCTTCAAATGCTCTTTGGCTGTGAACAACATGGGTTTATCACACAGCACAGATTTACCTGCACAATGTTGCACACACCTAGCAACTTTTAAGAATTGTAAAAATCTGGGTAGCATGGTCAAGTGGTCTAAGAATTGTAAAGAGAGTCTCACAGGTAACGAATTTAAGTCATAGCAACTTCCCCAGGAAGAGTCTAAATCACTATCACAGGTTAACATACAGTGATGCTGGGGATATTGAATGTACCTCAGCCACTTAGTTTGTTTACAGTGAGGGCAAATAAGAACACTGAACTTAATAGCCTCCCAAGGAAGAAACTGTCTTAGTGTCATACAGTTGACCATATGGGGAAAACCACTGTACAACAGTGTGTAGCTGGTTACAGTGCATCAAGGGTAAGTATGGCTGACTATGAATAAATCTAGTCATTTCTGAATATAAACTCAAAATGCTCATTCTAATGACAGATACCTAGTGATATTTTCACAAAGCACACAGATTTCAAGTTGTTCACAATTCAGATGATCAAATAAAAATGACATAAAAGCTCAGTAAATATATACATGGTTTTAAAAAGAGGGAAATTACTCCTTAAATGAGTATAAACCAACTTTATACTGCACTTAGTCTGAAAAAACAAAACATTCCATTTCTGTGATTCTGCATGACTGTAGGTATCTCATGAACATCTATTACTATAGGCAGTATCTGGGCAACATGAAAATGCTGCGTGGAAACTGTTGCTGCCATAAGTCTAGGGTGCGAGGCCAAACACAGAATAGGGCACGGCTATGCTATGCACAGATTACACTGAATAAAACTCAAGCATCAGATTCCCCCATCGAACAGTAGGGCAATAATGGACTGCTATTTACTGGGAGACTGGAACTACTGAAGACAAGGAAAAGCACAGTCAGATCAGTGTGTGGAAATGGTCAATTCATACGATTATAAAAAAATGGATGATTTATTATATAAAATTATGATTGGCAGAATACAGAAAAATTATTTCTTTTACCTTTATATATTTAGTGTAAGAACCAAGCAAAGTGTTAACATCTGGAAAAACTAATTACAGACTACCAAAAGGTATTCATTTGGTGGTTATTCAAGTCACAAATGCTAAGTAAAGAAATGTACTTCAAAACACACAAACTGTAAAACAGGCATGAAAACAGAGATCTTACATGATTCCTTTAAAAAATGACAAATGAGAAATAAGAAAAATGTGGTCAAGTTTGATCAAGACCAAAAAGAATAAATCAAATGTATTATTCATTGGGATTGTTAAGCTAAAGTAATTTTTAAAAAACTAAATAGGCAATGAGACTCAAAAAGGATATAAAACTGTTTTTCTACCAGTAACAGAAAGATTTGGAAGTCAGTCACATGCTGCAGACTGGGTGCCTCTCAGAACAGTTACATTCATCTTCTACTGTTACTTAAAGGCCAAAGAATGTATGCATTGGGGAGGGGAGGGGAGGAAGAAATCTGAATAGGGCAAAAATCTTATGTACTAAAATGACCAAATTCTTCTCTAGCATAAGGCTAGAAAAACCTGCTTGCAATGGATTCCTTTGTACTTCAGCAATAAACCAGGACAAAGATTTTACTGTAAGGAAAAGGTGACAGAGAGGTCTCTGCTATGTTGGCATATTCATGGCAAAAAAGTTACCAGAAAATTTGCACATATTACTACAATCTCATTTGTAACAAAAACAACAAATCATTAAGTTCACAATTATTTTAAAAATAAAACTAATTAATGAATACACATCATATGAATCACAGGCTGAATTATTGTATTCTATAGTCCTAAGTGCTGTTAATAAATACACTTGGTTCATGCTACGAGGGAAAGAATCCAGACACTTAATTTCACATTTCAGAATTCCTGAGTCTTATCAGGGAAAAAGGAGTCCCAAACCCCCAACCAAACTTATCAATAGTAGAGCAAATAACACAACACGGGCATATTATATAGTTTTAAAGCTGAAGACTACGGAGACAGATATATAAGTACTTTAATGGAACTATAAACATGGTTTTAAAGCTTTTTTTTTTTTTAAACAAGGCATACTGACTAAACAAGGCCACCTGAGTGACATCATATCAATGATGGGAAGCCCACCATTTTAAAGGAATATTAAATTTATTTCAAAGCCTAATTATCAATATAAAAAGGAAAAATGATTTAGTAAGAGTGCAATGGGGCAGCCCTTTGATAAAAAGTCTAATAAGGATAAAACCAATATAATTTAATTAAAATGTGGGTTTTAATTCTGAGCCACCACTCACTAAATAATTTCCCTTTGCTTTGCATATTACACAGTGAAAATAAAAAGGAATCTTAAGAGCACTTCAGTCCCACAATGTAGGATTTAAGCTTGTGTCAAAAGGTGAAAATGGCCCTGCCAGTGATGAGATGCTTGAGGAAATACATTCAACTGAAATAAGTCTACTTTCTAACAAGCAAGGAAAAGGGAAGCAAAGTTCTCCCACTTAAAACAATAAAACAAGCATAAAAACACCATGGTTTACCCCTTCTGGAAAGGCTACCTAAGCAAAGAACACCCAATAATATGACACATTAGAACTGCATACGTTTACTCATGTTTAAAGTAAAGATGGAAGCATACAACTATTTGTGAACTTTATAAATACACTAAACAGAAAAAAATATTTGGGTTACTTCCCTGTTCATAAGTTCCAGCAATAAAACAATTCAAAAACACTAAAGTGCAGACCTTCAGGCCATAACAGGTATGATAAAAAGTTGCAGCCAAAGCTGCATCTACTTTACATTTACAGATCCAGAAAATGATTCTTGCTTTTAGAAAATTGTGCAATGTAAAAACTAGTCAGTTTTGTCTGTGCCATATCGCGAACAGCATGCAGCCAATGCCGAAGTGGCTGCTAGGCCCGAACAGCACACTAGGCTCTTGACCACCAAACATTTCGTAAGAATCATACAATATTGATTCCACCTCCAGAGAATGTTAGGGTCCTCTTGTTGTAGAATGAAGAGCCACTGGTATTTGGTTGATTGCCTTTAACCAGAGAGGTTTTCAGTTCCATCTCACAAGCTACGATAGCTGCATTCAATTCCACTTGAGCTCGATGGACTACATAAAACATGAGGCCGATGCTTATAATAATCTGTGAAAAAAAAAAAGAAATACCAGTTACTAAGATTGGATCCAAGAAAAGCAAATGAATTCAATGAACACTTGGCTTAGAAATGGTTCACATGAAATGTTTCTTACAAGTAGCATATTTTAAACAGTTCACAGTTATGTTCTCCCTTTTCATTTCTCTGGGAAGTGTAGGAGAAAGCCTAAAAGCTACTTATTTATTATATTATAGCATCAGATAAATACATACCAAACATATCCTTTCTGGATATTTTCACTGTGTAAAACACAAAAAGTAACTTGCTTGATACAAAACAACCTTATCCCTTTGCTAAATTATCTCAGAAATCATCCTTCAAGAAACAAAAAAGTGAAATCTTTTTCAATAAAATTAACATAGTATTAGATATCTTTGTATAACTGTAATGTCCACAGGTATTTCTATGCTCAGAGAGAAGAACTGCCATATGTATATGAACTAACAGATACAAACAAAATAAAAAGTATTCATGATCACTTTAAATGAAATACAGGCCACATATGGTAGCACACACCTGTAAGCCTAGCACTTGGGAGGCAGAAGTAGGCAGGGTTTAAGGCCAGCCTAATCTTCACAGCCAGTTCCAGGCTAACCAGGGCTATATAGCAAGAGCCTGTCTCAAAAAAACAAAAACAATAAATAAAAAATAAATAAATAACAAAGAAAAAAAATCTAAAATAGTCCAAAAAAATTAACAAGACACTGGGAACATGAAACTGTACTTAGCGGAAAAAAAAAATTGGGAAATATGATTTTTAAAAGGTAGTCAGAGAGACAACAGAAAAAGCATTAAACTGATTAAACTGAAAATTCGTTTACTGAAAATTCGTTGGCTAATTAGCCATTGACTGAAGTTGTGATTTCAGGAAAGTCCCTTAAACAGTCTTCAGTTTCCTATTGATAGGAATATAGAGCATTTAAGCAGTCCACGTCTTCTAAATGGTCCTCATCTTATAAATGACTTATTCTAAAGTCCATTTGTAAATCAGTTTTTTAGAGTAGAACAAACATAGCAGTTATTGTTTCCAAGAAGGCTGCTCTAGTGGCACCACAAAATAACACTGTCTCTTCAGTTGACCCTTCTGTATTTATAAACTGTATTCTAAATCTAAGTTAAGGGAGGCAAGGGAGGGAGGAGTAAGCAGGACAGAATATGGCTATGAAAGGGCTAAGTCCTCCCAAACTTGTACAGTGCAGTACATGAGTTCCCACTGCTCAAGGCAGTACCTCGGCCATCATAAAAGTAGGTTTCTAAATACTTTGCTTCGGTTCTCCTAAAAGAAAAAAGATACACTTACTGAAAACTCAAAGTGTGATACTTATCAGCAGACTGTAAGGCCATGCAAAGAAATAGAGACAATGTTAAGAGAAAGTATGCTAAAGGATGTATGTGAAGAAGATGCTAAGTTCTACTTAAGACACACTGAATTGGAGGTGCTTAGCCGACACAGGCTAGGGAAAGAAGGCTGGACTAAACACATGTGTGGGAGGCAGAGACATAAATGAGCTTATCAGCAGTTTATGTGAAAATATTTGGGAATATGGATTTAGGGGTGAAAAGTAAAGACAATAAGCGTAAAAGTAGGGCAGAGGGGACCAAGAGAGGGATATCAAGGAATCAAGAGGGAGAAAGTTGTAATAATGAAGGCACAAAGCAGTCTTAGGAAGCTAGGGGATCCAGCTGCAGAGTGATTTGAATTAGACAAAGTTAATGATAGTCTATTTTCAGGAAGAGAAGCTACAGGAGGCCATGGCAGCCACTGAGAGGGAAGGTCAGATCCAGTGAAAAACTTTCTCAGGCCCTGCCTGCAGGGGACACCTGTATTCAGGAAGGCCTCAGCTCCCTTCTGAAGACAATGGCCTGACACTATGTACTCTGTAACATGCACTCACCTACATCCTTAACCTCTTGAAATATAAAAGAAATAGAAACAGGAGGTATTAACAATTGTTCTTAAGTTTCTCTTATTGAAATGAAATGAGAGAGTACAAGCAGAAGGTGGGGAAGGACAAGCCCCCTAACACTATGTACTCTGTAACATGCACTCACCTACATCCTTAACCTCTTGAAATATAAAAGAAATAGAAACAGGAGGTATTAACAATTGTTCTTAAGTTTCTCTTATTGAAATGAAATGAGAGAGTAGGCAAGCAGAAGGTGGAAGGACAAGCCCCCCCCCAGAAAGCGAAGTGTCTCTGGTAATACCTGCTAGAAAGCAGGCAGCAAAAGAGAGGAGTAGATCTCTTAGGTGGAATGAGGGGCTTCCCATGTGAAGTGTCTGACTTCTCCATGGAGGAAGGACACAGGCGGTTTATTGATGACAACGAGGGAAGTGGGGAAAGGAACCAAACCTGTGAAGACAGACTGCTCAGGATTATTATTCCCATATACGAGCAGGGGACTAAGATGATGGAGGAAGTGGCAGGAATGTAGGGCAGTGCTGATAAACAGGGTGCAAACTTGTACCCATGAATTGTATATTACCCATCTGCTTGGGGTGACTCTGACCCCAAAGAACAAACACAAAGCAGATCAACTTTGGGCTTACTGGGATTGGAGTTCTGGTAGGTAAGAATTAAAATAATACAGAGCCTGGGAAAGAATGAGTAACTAATAATCCATGCTGGTGTCAGGGCAAGGACAGCCATGGCTCCCTCTGAACATCGCATTCTCTCTAGGTTGGTGGCTATGAAACTCAAGCTAATTGTCTATGGCTCATTTCTAGCAAACAGAAAGACTAATAAGTACGCTTACTCTATTACCTTTCTGAAAGCTTCGCCTCTTCTCCTTTGCTAGCTTCCCCTTTGACGTATTTCTTCCTACTCTCCTGTTTTGTAATTCAGTGACATTAAATCCTTCCTGAAGCAGCTGAAAGTGTAACTAGTATCAGTAGATCAAACCAAAGCATTGTTGCTGCTACTTTTTTTTTTTTTTTCCTATAAATTCCTGGGGTAAGAATTACAGGTCCTTTCCTTCCTGTGATGTATGGTAAGTTTAAATTGCCAGCTCAAACAACAGCAACAAAATTACTGGATAAGGGGCTGGAAACATGGCTCAGCAGTTAAGAGCATCTGCTGCTCTTGCAGAGGACCAGGGTTTGATTTCCAGCACCTATATAGTAGCTAACAACCGTCAGTTAACTCCAGTTCCAGGGGATCGGATACTCTCTTCTGGCCTCTGTGGGTACTGCATGGATGTAGTACACTTACACAGATGCAGGAAAAATACTCAAAACACATAAAATAAAAATAACTAAATTTAAAAAAAATTTATATTTCTCTATAAAACATGATTCTATAGTTTTAAGAGGCACTAGATTACAGTTGAGTAATTTACAAAGATTCATAAAAATGTAGCTTCAATAATGAAAATGAGTGTGAGCTACTAAGGAACTCTACTCAAATATAATTTAAATCTATATATTCCAATAGATTACTCACATCTAGGAAACTAAGAAAATGATACATGTTTAATATATCTTTAAAAACTCCATCTAAGAATGCAGAACTCTACGGTAACTTGGCGTGGTCACAAACAGTAAATTATTATTACATTATACTGTAGGTATAATGCATAAAGCTAAACATCATGTGATTAGCATGTTATAGCCATACAAACAAAGCAAATAACACAATTCTAAACTTATATTCTGGGTACTTAAAAAAAAAAAAAGTTCTGAGGGGGAAAAATCATAAAGGAAAATAAAAACCAATTCTTTGAATTTTAAATATTATAAAATTTTTCTAAAAGCAAGCTTTTGTACACTGTCACAACACTTTAAAAATAATCCCTGTGAAATAAATCTTATTTTTATGATTCTTTTTTAAGAAAATAGTTAAATAGTCAATATGAAGTCTACATGCTTCCATATATCCATTTAATTAAAAAATATTGTCCAAATGTAAAGAGCTACCTAAAAAGGATCTTGTTTTTGATTCTGTTATATTCAATGAAATGTTGGATTTAAGTCAGCAATACAAAGAAGGAGTAAAACCAGACAACTCTTGGCCTTGAACTCACCTGTAAACAAAAAACAAAATAACTGCTAACACTCTGTTCTGCAATGACATCATCCATTGTCCGCAGGGTGGTACCCAAGTAAGAATTCAGAAGCTGAGTCGGAAGCAGTCCAACTGAAGATGCCATAAGATAGTTGGGTAATGAAAGGTCAGTAATCTAGAAAGTAGATTAAAGGAAATTTGTTAGTAAGTAAAACAAGTCACAAAATGTGTATCTAAGTCTTGTTACTGTTTTCTCTTCCAGGTAGAGAGTTGAAATACTTATGAAGCATACTAATTTCTTTAAGTGATTATCAAAGGAATATAAACTATAATTTAGAATGAAATAGCAAAAATTTAATATTCTATTATCCTGCTACTCAAAAAGAATATTAGCAATTGTTTTTTCTCAACTGTTAATAAAAAACACACAGAGATTACTATGCAGAAAATTCTCTAGATCTCCCCACATTACTACACAGGCATAAGCATTTTTTACATGGCTGTGGGGTCACTGTGCTCTGAAGACAGGTAACAATGGAGCGGCATTGCAGGCCAGTGAGTTACTGTCTTACATTTTTCCATTTGTAACATAAAAATAATTGTCACCCTAAATTCAGGAAGATTAGCATTGCTTACCTCTTTGTCTCTACAGGATGATGTTTGTTTTTTGTTATTAAAAAACAAACAAACTGCAAAACCACCATGAAAACCTTAGCATATTCACCTGTGTGGAAGTCAGCATATTCCCAAGGACTCAATTTCTAGTACGTATGATCTAGACAATCCTTTCCCTAAATGTGGGCTGCATCTTGCTGGCTTCTTAGCCAACAGACTCTAGCAGACAGGATGAGAAATCACTTCTAAGATTAGGTTATGAAAAGAAGGTCTTCCATCTCCTCCCGAAGCAGGCCAGCTGCTGCACTGTAAAAGTTCTTTGGAGAAACACATGTAGAAAGAACTGGTTGCTTCTGCCAGCAGCTAGCAAAGGCCTGTAGTCTGCCAAGAGCCACAAGAACGAGCCTGGAAAAGGGTTCTCTGCCAATCAGACCTTAAGATGGCTGGAGCCCTGGCCAATGACTGACTGCACAAATATGAGGAAGCAAGTCAGACTCCAGTTGCACAGGGATTCCTGACCCACAGAAACCACTACTGAATTTGAAGTTATCTGTTACACAACAATAACAAACATGCATCTCAAGTTATTTTAGGATAGATCACTAAGAGCAGAATTACTTCTTGACACTACAGTCCAAATTGTTCACGGTGAGTTATGTATCTGTCAGTAAAGACAAATATGTCCATCACTCTTACTAACTTGAGTGGTAATTTCAATCTTCTGTAGCTTGAGAAGGTAAAAATGTTTCCTCATGATATAATCGGTAGGTACTGTTTCATTTATATTGACAGGAGCTTTTATCTAATTTTCATTTCTTTATGGTTTTACTTGTTAGCCTTCAGGTTTCTTCCCAGCATGTTAACTATTTTCTCATTCATAAGAGTTCTTTACACAGAAAGAATACTGACTGGTATCTGTTATATTTAGAGTACCTTTTTTCCTTTGTTACTGTCCAGGCTGGTCTCAAACTCCTGAACTCCAATGACCCTCCCACCTCTGCCTCCCCAAGTAGCTGGCACCACGGGCATGCACCACTGTGCTTGGCTCATCTTACAGAAACACATTTCTAAATATACAAGCAAATAGCAATGACTTCCTCCTCTGTGGCTTTTTCCATTGCTTTTAGTTTTATAGTCCTTTTTACTCTTTTCTGAGTTTTTACTTATTTTTCTGATAGTTCTCCTTTTCAATATTCATCACTATGCAATTCTGGATTTTACTCAGATAAAAAGAGAGGGTATTAGCTTTATTCCTTTCTCTTCCTAATATCTAACTTCACAAGCCTTATATACTGCATAATCAGCTTATCTATTTGTCTGTGACTTTATTATATATGATGCTACCATATGTAAAAGGGCCAATGAGGGACTCAAATGCTGATCATTCATTATTTCAAATCTTATACTGATATCAAACTGTTGTGAAGAATATCAGCACCTAACAAGGAATTTCTCACTCCCTTCAAAACCCTCTTCATTACTCTTAAGAATTACTTTGCCTATTCTCACTACTTATTCTTTTTTAAAATTTTATTTATTACTTTTATTTTATGTGTATGAGTGTACCGCCTGCAAGTAGGTAGGTGCACCTGTAACCCATGTCATGCAATGCCCATGGAGGTCAGAAGAGGGCGTTGGATTCCCTGGAACTGGATTTATGAACAGTTATTAGCCACTATATGGGTGGTGGGATTCAAACCAAGGTCCTCTGAAAGAGCAGCCAGTCCTCTTAACCACTGAACCATCTCTCCAGCCTTCATGACTCATTCTTATATATATCAGTCTACCATTCGAAAATCAGAAAGTAAATATTGTATTGGGATTGAGGATAATGAAGGTTGGTAAGGAGGAAATACCCAAAACATTTAGTATTCATATCAGAAATATTTAGATAAGTCTCAAAATCTTTAAACAGATTTTATTGAAGTTTGGCTGTTTAATTCACATGCCATGCATTTTAGTTTAGTTCTAATCATCTTTTACATTTCTATGCACTGCTACTGATTGTGGGAATAACTTATCCACACTCAACTTAAGTATTCTTTGTACATAAGAAAGTTATTATTCTTAGAAAAATCTTAAATTTTAAGTCTAGTATTTTAGTCAACTACCGACAGTTAATCTACAACTATAATCTAATAATCATTCAAGTTCTACTTTCATTATGGTTGCAGTCATCTGCAGCTACAGATGAATGGGAGATGCACCACTGCTGGTTTGGAGAGAACATTAGAGCAATGAGTTGTTAATTCACGTCATCTACCACTGATCCAATAACTGTCCATGCAAGATGACCTGATAGTTGCTGGAAAGAGACGTAAGACACAGAAACTATCATCAAAAGACACACAGGGACAAGTACATGTCAACTGCTATGGACACAGAAAGGGAGCCTTGAGAAAAACTATGCACAGAGCACTTAAGAACAGAGAGGAATCAAATTAGTTAAGGGAGTCAGAGCCAGGGGTAACTTCACAGAAAGAGTGACATTTGGAATGGACACTGCTAAGCATGGATTTGGCAGGCAACTGGCTGGCAGGCTAGATAGCTGCCGCGAGGAAGGCAGGTGTTCTAGGAAGAGCAGGAACAAGGACAACGTGGGAGGGAAAGTGCAGACCTCTTAATGAAGCTGGCAGTACATTTTGGATTGTTTACGAGGCATGTGCAAGGGAATCTTGAAAACTAAAGACAAGAACAGTGAAATGAAACCTGTTAGACTTGATGAAGGAGCAAGCTTCTGTCAGAGGAAACTTACAGGCGAGTTTACTCATAGGCACTTTCTTTAGAATAAACCTCTCAAGTGTATACAATGAGCAAACACAACAAAAATGAGGCATAAAGATCCTATGCTGCGGGTCGAACAAAACTACAGAAGTTATCTTTAAAAAAATATTGAGGGGACTGGAGCGATAGCCTAGCAGTTAGGTGTGCATGCGGCTCTTCCAGAGGACTTGAGTAGAGTTCCCATACCAGGTAGCTCATAACGAACTGTAACTCCAGCTACGGGGATCTGATGTCCTCTTCTGTCTTCCATGGGCACCTGCACTCACGGGCACATAACCTCACATACAAATGAACACACACACACTTAAAATTTAAATATTTTAAAAAATTGATGTTACATTCCAAAATGTCCAGTCTCCAAATGTAGGAGTTTCTCTAAACAGAGCCCATAATTGATATTCATAGAAGGCACCAAATAATATCCAAATGGGAATGCTACAAACAGATTTCAAAAATCCAAACAGACTCTGGCACTCAACTTTTTAACACAGCTACTGTCCAGCACTAAGCCAATGTTTATGGCTATTTCCATGATGGGACCTCATCTTAGGGAAAAAGTACTGCTACTATGTACTTCCTTTCTGTAAAGCTATTTAGCTAAAAGAAGCAAATAACTAATCTGAGATAATCGCTGTGAACAGTTTTGCTACCATGTTCAAGGATCTAACTACTGGAATATAGAATATCATAATACCATTTTTAAACTGTTAATTACATTATTGAAGCTAAAGATTCCAATTCTTCTGAATACAGCATTTCCTATAAGCCAAAAGCCTACTCAGAACCTGCATTTTGTTTCAGTTTTGACAAACACAATTTAGAGCTTCTATACAGACCTCCCTAATCTCCTGTTCCAAGTATGTCCTCACCCACAAAATTTTACATGTCTGTCACTTGTCCTACTTTCCAGAAAGATTAAAATCCATCTAAGGCAATTCCTGCCTAGAATGTCCTAGGACTTTGGCTAAGAGGTATCTTCCAATTTGAAAGAGCACATAGAAATCTAAGTCTAAGGCTTCACTGCTAACCTACTGGATAGTTTCTATGATTAGGGTGACTCTGATGAGAGTTTCAGAGATGGCAAATGCCACCTGATAGATATCTACATGTATCTGCATATTATATAGCTACTTTCCTAGGTTTTTTTTCATTTTATGTGTGGTTGTGCCTCAGTGTATGTATGTATACCATGTGTGTGCCATTTGCCTAGGGAGGCCAGAAGAGGGCACTGGGATTCACTGGAACTGGAGTTACAGGCAACTGTAATCAGCCCAAAGTGGGTCCTAGGAACTGAGCTGGATCCACTGCAAGAACAGCAAGTACTCTTAACTACTGGGCCATTTCTCCAGCTCTTATGACAGACACTCTTATCCCCAAAGTTACTGTGATTTACCTGAAGATGTAACTCAGAACCTACAGTCAATCTTCTTAGGCAGGGCAAAAAATACATTTCCTGGGGAATTATACTCCAGCACCTCTTTTTATGTTTACAGTTTTTACAGAGTTTTACATGCTCTAATTTAAAACCACTAAAACTTTGCATTTTACATAGAATACCTTGACATGGAGTTAGCAAAGAACATAAAGGCAATGTGTTCAAAAGATCTCAAATTTTACCCCTAACTCTGTTAATCAAATATCAGTTTTGGCAAATTATACATTCTTACACAGATGAGTTTCATGGACTATCCATCTAGGATGTTTATTGACAGTTACTGTTAAGGTATTAAGCACAATATACTCAATATTATATATATATAAAATAAACCTCTACAT